AGCAATTTTTTGTTCTTCAACTATTAAATTTAATTTAAAATCAATATATAGCTTGATCTTGAATTCTTCTAATACTATGCCAAATTTAACCTTGATCCAACTAATAGATCTTTAGATATTATAGAAATCTTATCTAACCTCAAAGTGCCAACTTTTAATATCTCCTTGTATCAAAATCCAAATATCTTTCAATTACACTATTAAATTAACACAAAATTTTAGATGCACTTAGTAAACATAATGAACCAAGAACTTTCAAATTTTGAACTATAGATGTGACACCAATTGCACAAATTAGCTTAGAGTACTAGCTTTAATTTTATTGTATAAATTCCAAGTCACTCATACAAATCCTAATCTTAAACAAAAATTTCAAAGTCATTCCAAATCCAACAAAACAAAAACTTATATTTTTAGATTAAATTTAAAACTATCTCATAAATTCCAATTGGCAATCTTCAAATGCCTCTTTATTTTATCTTAGGTGGCAGTTTTAGTGGTTAGAGGTCTGATTTTGATCCTATTCCACAAATGGTCGACCTCCATGTATCAATCCAACCTATCCTAGGAATTTTTCAACTCGATCCTATCCTCAACTTAATCTTAGTGTCAATCATATTAATTATTTATCTCTTCTATCCTATTTTTATCAATTTAAGGCCTTTCTAAGGTACTAAAAAAAATTTATAGTCTTAAAGATAACATTATTAACTAACCTTTAATCTATTAATTTTTAAGACAAGAAAATAAACTAAGAGGCTTTTATAAAAGCCATGATTAAATATCTTAAATTAATATTGAACCAAAATAATTAAATATTGATTAAAATTTTATTTTTGATTATATTTTTATCATATAATTAAATTATAATATAAAATTATTTTTGAAATCTTCTAATCTATAATAATTTGAAATTTCTTAGAATCCATTATAAGTCCATCATTTGAAATGATGTATTCTAAGAAATCAACTTAAGTAATGTAAATTATATATTTTTCTATCTTGGCATAGAGTCTCGCATCTCTTAATTTTTGTAATATACAATGAACATAAAATTTATATTTTTTTATGTTCTTAGAATAGATTAAAATATTGTATAAATAATAGGCAACAAAATTATCCAAAAACTCTCAAAAGATATCATTCATTACATATTGAGAAGGTGTTGGTATATTTATAAGTTCAAAAGATATGATATTATATTCAAAATATCTGTACTTGGTTCAAAATGAAGTCTTCCATCCATCTCTTTTTTTGATGCATACTAGATTATATGCCCCTCATAGATCTATTTTTTTTTTTTTTTTTTTTTTTATAGATCTTAGCTTGATTCAATTAATCAATAAGTCTAAATATCAAAGGTATTAGATACTTATTCTTGATATTGAACTTCTTGAATCTTTGATAATTGACACACATTCGTAATGATCTATTTTTTTTCTTTACAAATAAAATTGGACTACCTGCTAGAAATTTGGAATGGAGTATGAAATTCTTTGCCAAATTCTCTTCAATATATTCATTGAGTTTAATCAATTTATTTTAAAATAAATTATAGATTAGTCTGAATGACAGTTGAGCTTCTTCTTGAAGGTCAATTGAAAAGTCATAAGGATCATGTTTTGAAAGAGTATCTGTATTTTTCTTTTCAAATATATTTTTAAAATCTTGATATTAGGTAGAAATTCCATTTGAAATCTTTTTTCTATTAGAAATAGGTAAAGCATAAATGACACAAGGTGATCCTTCTTTTGTAGCATACTAGAAAGTTCTTACCCTTACAAAGATATTTTTGGTTATATTAAAGTTATGAGTTTTTATTTGATTAATTACATTATTATTTATACTTTCAAAAAAGCCAAGACTATAAAAATTCTAATCTATTCAAGGATTGTATTTTTTTTATATGTAATAAATCAAAAATGAGTGAATTAGAAGGAGATTTAATGATGTTAAATATCACAAAGCTACTATGACCATTAGTTACTACTTCTAAAAGAAATATTTCATAAATAGTATCTCCAAAGGACAAAAAATGACTATTTATGAATTCTACATGAACAGATTTTATTTTCTTTACTAAAAGTATATTATATCTTTTAATAATCTTTTCATCTAAAAAACAAGCTGAGGCTTCTAAATCTAGTAAGGCAAAGGCTTTGTGATATTTAAGTTCTAAACTATTATCTATTATAAAAGAAAGAGAGGATTCTAAGGAAAGAATAGGACCTTCACTAGGTATTGTACTAAGTTTCAACTGCATAGTCTCTATTATAGTTGCACAAATTTTTTTTAACATACTATCTTCTTTGATAGCTATACTTCTTATTTTATGATTGTGTTGCTTCTTTGGATAATATTGAGGAACATGCTTTGAGGCTCTAAAATATAAATATAATCCTTCTTAACAACAATAAGTCTTTTCTTACTAAATAAGAGGTTTAAAATATATCGCATTAATTTATATTTCTTCTACTTTCAAAGGTATATATTAAAAAGATATTGGTGTTGCCATTAAATTTTAATAATATTGAAGGCCTACTTATGTAATTTTTAAATTGAAATTTAAAAAGTAAATTTTTATAATTTATAGAAAAATAAATTGTTTCATTCAATGTTTGGAAATTAAATAAATTGAGCATCAATTTCTTTACTTCATTTTATAATCCATAAAAAAATTTATTAATGAATGCAACATCATCTCACTTGATATCAATCGTAAGTTGTCAAAATTATAAAGCACACAATATTATAAATTGATTTTTTTCTTACAAAATATGGATCTTATTTTTTGCAACACAAATTGCATGTTTTTCATATATATATCAAAATTCTATCAAAAAAGCTTTTAAACTATTCAATATTAAATTATGTTGTTCAAAAAAGATGAAAACTATAATAATACTAAATCAAAAAGTAGTTTTTAAATAAACTTGACTTATGGTCTTAAAATTGGATAGCTTTGAAATTGAAGTTCAATTGCTAGTTGTATTTGATTGATGAATCCTTGAAACTTTGATCTTGTATTATCAAACTTCTTAAGTAAGGCAATTCTTAAGTGTCTAGTATTTAAATGGTATTCTACCATAGAAGAAAGGATATGATTTGGTATAGATGTTGAAATAGCTCCAATCATCTCTATAATTCTACTTTCTATCATTTTTGTTCCTCTTTATATTAGTAAATTGAGTTGATACATTGTAAGCATTAAATTCTTCAATTATTTTTTTACTTATACTATTGTACTTTTTATTTCTAGAAGTTTTACTTTAAAAATACTCAAAATATATATATCTATATCTAATATTACTCAAGATAAGTAAAAAAATGGACTTGAAAACAAAGAAAATATTTAAAACAATATGAGTTTAAAAGAAGGTAATCTGCAAATTTTGATACACTTATGTCTTGTCAAGAGAAAGAAGTAATCCATTTTTAATAAAGAAAAGATAAAGCTTTAAGTGTAAGTGTATTCTTGTCAATTTATTAAAGACAAAAACTTAATAAAAGAAAATAAACAAGTGAAACTTTCTCAAAGAAGTATAAAAAAGTAGAACTAAGAAAGTATGTATATTAAAAAGAAACTAAAATAGATATTGCTAAAAGACAAGAATACTAGAGACTTTTGAAAATAGACTAGAAGCAAGAAAGGAATTGACAAGAATAAAGAAGGTTTTATTTTTGTCTCTAAATATACTATCTACTTATAAGCTATATGGCGATGTTCTATAGGATTTCAAAAAACGTGTTGACTTTAAACAATACATATTTTAACTTACAAAGCAAGTTTTTTATATGGATTCCATATAGTTAGCTTTTTTTGCAAGCTATAAACATATGTCACATGTAGTTAGCTTGTTGAGTAAGTTTCTAATCTATCCATCAACTACAAACATATGTAAAGTCAATGCAGCATCTATGGAGCTTCTAAGAAGCTTCTTAGAAGATATTATGAAATTAATTTAATTTTACCTACTTCTACTTATTCATATTATCTAAATAAAAATTATAATAAATGTATGTCCGTGACAAGGATATATATTTTTTATGGAGATTTTGTTGACTTTTTGATAATCCACACATATTTACAAAGATCTATCTTTTTTCTTCATAATTTAGATAGGAGCTCTTTTTAGAGATTTAAAGTGGCATATAAAGTTCTTAGCCAAGTTCTTCTTAATGTTTGTCTTAAGTTCAGTTAATTTATTTTGTAATAAGCTATAAACTAGTTTGAATATTAGTTGAATTCTTTTTTGAAGATCAATGGAATAATCATATAATATAAATATATAATATTAATAATTATATAACTTAAGTTATAAAAAAATAATCTCTAATCTTTTTTTCTTTTCTTTTTTTTTAAAAAATTGAAGTTTGTAATTTATAAAACTTGACATTATTTATTTAGAATATAGAGAATTCATTTGAGTTTATATTTTAAATATAATAAAATAATTATAATTCAAATATTTATAATTAGATATAAATTTATTTATGTAATTATGAATTATAATTATAAAAATATTATATCAATTTTTATAATTTTAAATAATAGATAATTTGAGTGTTTATATAATAATTTTTTATATAAGATAATTTCAATTTTTAAATTATTTACAAAGTGGTGTTTACATATTTTGTATTTGTTACAATTGTTCTATTAGATAACTTTTTAGATATACTTTAATAAATTTATTTCAATGTAATTTCATTTAATAGAAATTAATAAGATACAAAAAAAATTAGCTTGTAAATTTAATTATATATAATACTTATAAGTAAAATATAAAAGAACACACCTATTCAATAAATAAC